TCTCAGTTATATTCATGCAAACCTGAAATAATTTACAGTAAATCATTTGATAATGAAAAAGAACAATGACTATCGCAATGCTAATTCACTTTATCAAAATTATGTTATGCAAAATAAACTGAAATGCGGGAAAATATTGAAGCTAATCTAAAAAAATTAAAAAGTGAGGTATCGTCATTGTTTGATAGGATCTGACCTGATTTGACCTGGACAACTATGTATCAAGTGGCTCACAAAAAAAACGAATATAACGTTTGTATTTATAAGAATAACTGAAGTCGATATTCATATAAAAATACGAATAGACAAGACAGATGCTGTTTGTATAGATATATGTATAGGAAAAGAAAAATTAAGCGTTTAACTTCAAGATAATATCGGATAATAAACCTATGAATCACAAGGACAGAAATGTCAGGAAGACAGGGCATCAGCTACCAAATTTAATGCATTCTTTTAAAAGATATACTATTTTAAGTAAATGATTGAATGCTATTGGCCTGAACAGAAATATTGAAAATAGGTACGAGAGGCAGGGAAATAACAGGGCTTGGAAGGGATGGTAGGGACGGAAGCGTGGGAAGAGGCGTTTGTTGGCACATAATTCAACTAGATTATTTAAATATTCAAAAATTTCCCACAAATGCATAATCAAACCGATCCAAAAAAAATGAACATCGACATGACATCGGTAAACGTAATGAGAGATAATGAGAATAAGAAAAAATGCCAAAAATATGGTAACACTATATAATCCTAGCCATGACATACAAAGTCCATAGAAACATAAATTAATTTAAAGAAAAATGCACTATAGTTCACCCACATATTAAAAGGTCGAGAGAGATAGACAACAAATCTATACTTTAATTCTAGCATGATCGAGTTGGAAAACAAAACAAAACAAAAACATGCCAAAGAGATAACTCGCAAATGAAAAAATAGGGATTGATTCCCTTAAGAATATAACAATCTACCATGACGAAAAAACAAACCTTGGTAGATAAAAGAACAAAAGAAAGAAAATGCACTTTGCATGGACACTTGTTTACATATAAAAATCACTGCACTTGTGAAAAAAAAAATGTACAGCATGCACACACGGGAAAGAAAATGAAAAGAAAGGAAGTGCCCACGCGTACTTACAATATTCGGAGAGGTGGTCGAGCGGTGCATCTTGTAGGAGGTTTGGAGTTGTCACAGCTGGATAGAACGACATCCCATCTGCCACCAGTCAGGGTTTTGTTTCCCCACTGGTTATGGGAGACACAAGTTCTGCATTAGCTGTTTATTCTGAAGGTGGTAGCATAGCATGGGCTCTATTGACAACAGCGAGGGAGCCCAGAAGGCGTGCCAAGCGGTGTGCGAGTGGGGAGAGACTCCCAGAGGGCGCCGTCCGGGTGAGCGCGTGACACAGGGTCAAGTGTTGAAGCATTGAAGAACAGGGTCGGGAGTCCCTAACGATGGGGGACGTGGCTAGCTAACCCTGGTGCCTCAGACTCCCTCTTTCTTTTTCTCTCTATATATATACCTTTCTACGTCTTCTCTCCGGGCCACCCAGAGAAAAGGCCCGGCGAAGCATGACTTCGCAAATCTAACTGAACTGAACTGAATCTCTGCCTCCAGCCTCCAGGCTAGGACAGGTAACGTGTCGGCCTCTCATCCGAGGGTCGGCGGTTCGCGCCCCGCCCAGGCGCGAGAAGTTGCAATTGTCGCTCGGAGGTTACTGCTGTGGCTGGGCACCACGGTGGGTAAGGACTAAGCTCTGTCGCGTCAGTACTTGCTGACACACTGATCGAGTCGACATTAGTCGGCTCACCCATAGCCCGGGCGAGGCTCAGCTTCGCATATGACTTATCCTTATTATCTCTGCCTCCCCCTTCTCTTTCTTTCTCCCCCTTTCTCTTTCTCTTTGCGACTATCTCTCTTTCTCTCTTTATTTCTATCTCTCTATTTTTTTCTTCTCTGTCTTTCTCTCTCTCTCCTACTCACTCACTAACCCACTCTCCTCCACTCATTATCAGTCCCTTCCCTTACCCTCTCCTTCTCCACTCCACTGTTTTTCACTAGCCGTCACCAGTAAATTCAAACTACACAACATAGGCCTTTTTTACCTTTTATACTCTCACTATCTCTCCCTACCCCTTTTTCTTTATTCACTATATATCCCACCCCCTTCTCTTTTCTCTCTCTGTCTTTCACTCACTCTCTCAATCACTCCTCCCCCCTCCCTCTCTCTCTCTCGCTCTTTCTCTTTCTCTCTCTCTTTGCGACTCTCTCCTTCCCTCCTCACTCTATCTTTCTCTCTACCTCTCTCTGTCTCTGAAACCCCCTTCTTTCTTTCTCTCTCTATCTCTTCCCCCTCTTTTTTTCTTCCTTTCACTCTCTCTCTCTCTCTCTCTCTCTCTCTCTCTCTCTCTATATATATATATATATATATATATATATATATATATGTATATATATATTATATATATATTGTGACTTTCACTTACCTTCCCTCACTCATTCTATCTTTCTCTCTCCTCCTCTCTCTATTTCTCTCCTTTAATTTTCCTTCTCTCTCTTTACCTCTTGCTCCTCTCTTTCTCTCCCCTCAACCCTCCATTGCTGCCCCCCCCCCCACCTTTCCTTTCGCTCTCTATCTCTCCCCTCTCTCTTTCTCTCCTTTCTCTCTTCTTCCTCCTCTCCTCTCTCTGCCTTTCACTCCCTACCCATCCCACTCTCTTATTCGCTAACTCTCATTCTCTGACTCTCTGACTAGCCCTCTCCTCTCATTATCTTTCTCTTTTTCTCTCTCTCTGATTCCCCTTTTCCCTCTCTGTCTACCTGTTTTTAAGTGTGTGTTTTGATTGATTTTTTCTTCTCGTTCACTTGCGGTATTGACAGTGACGCTCAAGAGGTGTGAAAGAGACAGGGGCCCTCCTCCATTCTTTGGCCATAAAGGAACGGCTTTTTTATTTTATTACTGAACGCTTTAAATGCTACGAACCTCAGTTGTAATAATGCAGTTGTTGTTACTGTGGCATAGACCTCATCAAAATATCCACGCATGATTTTGAAAAACACTTTTTACAGTGCATCAGTCATCCAGATCAAATATCTGTATATCAAGTTCATTATTATTATTTTTTTTTTTTATAATAACGTATCGGTGGGGCTGCATCGACGATATTCATGTGTTTCAGGGCACAGCATGGTCAAGCACAGAAGCATGCTGGGTTTATTGGTATCGCTCTGTCTTCGAAGAATCGATGTATCGGAATCGTTTTAGCCAAATTTCTTGTATCGATGCATTGGTGTCGCCTTAGACAGTTCTGTGTATCTATGCCCATCACTGAATATAATGCAGCATGATTTTACTTATTGAAACACTTTTTTGAATGCGCACATGATAGTTATCGATGTTTTCTATTAGAAAATAATAGGCCGCCTTATTCTCCAAAAGCTGCTACTAGATGGTGTAGCTCCGAGAATATCCTTGTTAATTGTGTTGTTTAAATAAGGGAGATATCATACCTCCATAGGTGTTGCCATTTCGATAAACAATTCTAAAAAGGCACATTTGATAGATATTCCACCTCCATAGGTGTTACCATTTCGATAAACAATTCTAAAAAGGCACATTTGAAAAATATTCCACTACAAAGCCAACGACTACTAATACTGCGTGATTTGCAATCACTTATTTGGAGAGAAGGCAATATGAAATGGCTTGCTTCGTTTTCTAAAAATAGATATCATTATACTTATTGGTTATTTCTTACAAACAACCTAGGGTTTTCGCCCATTCATGGAAATACTAGTTACTCTATGTTTACATCGTACTGGTTGCCAGAAGTATGAAAGTGGGTTCCAGCATGTGTACTCAAATATAAATTCCGCAACTGTACTACACACAGAGGTAGGGTACGACCAATTTCAAATCAAATAAAATTTGCCGATGTTAGACGGTTCCGACGGTTAGTGAATTAAGTCAAACCGAAATCCTTTAATCATTATTTATACGGCTACTTTTAAACATTAATGCCTCGTACTTGATACACATACAGGTCTCTTCGTAAGTTACAACATATGACCGGGGAGTGTCGATGAAGCCATATTTCATTTGTAAAAGTACACAAAACTTACGTTTTTTTTTTTTTTTTTTTTTTGAGATTTCACATAATACTTCGTCATAAAATCACTGATATTACTTTTTTCTGATATCGATATAAAACTGTTCTGTGGATATTTACGAACTCATACCAATCATCACTGTCATTATCAAATGCCATATTCAATATTGCAACAAACAAAAGTCCATACAGGTGTACCAGTCGCATATTAGCTGCGTACCTCCGCTACGTGTTGGCGGTTCTCGCGTGCGCCGCTCAAGAAATAACTCGAACTAGGCTCTAATAGTTGCTTAGTAGTTTTCCACATTCTTGTACCTATTCAATAGCCTAGCTAACTCCATATGACCCACTTTTATTTCCCATGTTTCCCCCACCCGCGGGACGGTCCCATAGAGGTGGTATGGCTAGCATTTTATGCTTATTTACTTATTGGCCAGCCATGATGCGTGCGCGTGTGTGAGAAAGAGAGAGCAGGAGAAGGAGAAACGAAGTGAGAGGGGGGTGGGGGAGGAGAAACGCAGTGAGAGGGAGAAAGCGAGAGAGAGAGAGAGTGGGGGAAGGAGAAAGAGAGTGATAGAAAAAAGAGAGAAATCGGGGGAAGGAAAGCGAGAGAGAGAGAGTGGGGAAAGGAGAAAGAGAGTGATAGAGAGAGAGAAATCGGGGGAAGGAGAGAGTGAGAGGAGTGGAGGAGAAAGAGAGTGAAAGGGGGGAGATAGAGATACGCACATGTGCACACGCACACACGCAACCCCCCCCCCCCACACACACACGCACACACACACACACCACGTGCGCTCGTGCACGAATACTTATGATCACAGGCAAACGCACGTATTTCTACATATTACTGTTATATTTCACAGCATTACTATCTACCCTCAGGTCGAAAGAATGCCCATCTTCTGTGCGCCGGCATTGGCGGTCAGATCGGATGGCACCTGGCCTACCACTACCCTGAATTCGTGTCCAAAATGGTTCTGATTCACTCTCCTCATCCTTATGTAATCCGCCAGCAAGTCAGGTCTTCATGGGCGAGCTATCTCAGAATCTGGTATGGAAGTGGATCTGTCTACTTCTTATTACTCTTTTGGAAGCATTGCAATTATTATAATTATTTTCTCTACCATTGTTACTTCCTACAGTTATCAACCTTATCATTTTCATTATAATTACTACTACATTTACGTTTATTCTCAGTGGTGATATGACTAGTAGTCATATCACTATTGAGAATAATCTAGTACCCATTACTGATATTACTTTTTTGTCCTTTTCAACTTCATAATCCTTCTTTACATGTATGGCTTTTTCTGCATCGTAATCTAGTTAGTTATGATGAGAATGAGAATGACTACGACAACAATAATAGTAACGATATTCATGATGATAATGATAATAACGCTAATCAGAATAAAGATGATGATAACGATGATGATGAATATGTGATGATGATGATGATGAGGATAATAATGATAATGGTAATAAGGATAATAACAATAATAATGATGATAAGAAAAAGGATGATTATAATAATAATAATAAGCATATAATGATGTAAGTAATTATAATAATCACCTTAAGGGTGATAATAATAGATATTAGCAAGACCCAGGATCAGAGTGAAAGAAGTATATTTCATAATCTGTCAACTAATGACTGCTAATTCTACACATCTCGATTTTTCTTATAGTACCTTAAATTAGCCTTTTTTGTAACAGACCTACATTATGTGAAATCATTTCTAAGAATTTTAGAACAGGCTTGACATGGTAGAAGTCCTCAAGTAGCCAACTAAAATTTCATTTTTATTTATTTTTTACGTTTTGTCTATTTAGTTTTAAAAAGTCTAACTAGACAATTTTCCAAGCAATAAGCGACGCATGCTTCTTCCTTTTAAAGAAACGTGCCCGAATTCATTTTCTGCAGCACATGGAACGCCTAAAGAACAATACCTTTCATTCATTCATTGAGTGCATTGGAGCAATTCCACACGAGAATTATTCATGCATAAACATAATCGCCCACTCTTCTCCTCCGTAGGGCTATTTTGATGATTATTCAATGAAAATTTAACAATTAAAATCATTATTTTCCATCCTTTTTGAAAAATGAAAAGACTAAAACGAATAATAAACCCTATGTACTTTTTTCTAAAAATAGAATCGCAACTTTTGTGACGTAATCAAAATCAGACGCCATGACACCCCGAGTTGCTACTGATCTAGCCTTTCTGCTGAAAGAGGGGGTGGAATTAGTGAATGGTAGTGTAGGGAAGGAGATAATAGAAACGGTAACAAATAAAATACTTAAGGAATTTTAGATGCCGGCACATTGGACTGATTTTACAGGCGATGATTATCAGCGATTATTTGTAGGTCTATATCGTAGCTTGTATGTGGATTCAGTTTTGTAATTCTCATGCTGCAGCTTAGAGATGGTATAATAAAGAAGTAAAATAAACAAAGAAGACATGGCACATTTGAATGTATCACAACACGCACTGCATAAAATATATTTATATACATATAATAATGATAATAATAGAAATAATAATAATGATAATACATAAACATATACATATGCATATTTAATTTAAATGACATGTACATAGTCTCTAGAGTATTATTTTGTGGCCTTTCTTTTTGATCATGCGAGATTCATAAATCTTATTATTCAAGATGCGCATTTTGAAATAGGTGCGACACCTAACATGTTAATTAGATACTGGAAATTCTCACAGTTCACCATTTTCTTTCCACATGAAATTACCCACTGTTTTGCTCCCTCCTTCGGAAATTGGTGATAAAGAACATCCATAGGGCGGTCCCAAATTCTGCAGCCAACCACCTGAACAATTACAGGGTATTGCGGCTTTACGCGCGGCAGTCAGTCAAGTGAGCAAAAACATTACATCCAAGAAAGACCACATGATGAGCGTCGAACACCCAGGCTTAACCGCCATGCGCGAGACTTTAGTGACTCTTTTCGTTTCTTTTTTTTTTTTTTTTTTCTAAACATCACCCATTATAGGGTGGAATGAGCTTCGCAGAAGCCACCCGTTTTGTGGTCACTTTATTTTAGTAATCTTTTATTGAGAAGGGAATAACTTTATTTATGTATCTTCAGTAAGGTTGACGAAGCAGAGCTTCGTCTTTTTTGAGGGATTTGACTAATGTTAAATGCATGGCCTTTAGTGGTGGGCATCGTCCACAGCGACGTCGCCTGCCCATGACATCAGGAGACGCCACCCGTCCCGATGATCCAAGGCGAAAAACACCAATCCCGGAGCTGTGCCCCCGGCTACCCGAGAAGGCAGTCGGACGCGGCCCGCCCAAGACGATCGACGATCACGAAGTCTCCCTGAGAACGTCCCCTTCCACTCCTCTTGTCGGAAATCTCCCCAACGCGAAGAGAGTGGGGCTGAAGAGGGTGCCTCACAAGGTCCGCTCCCGACAGCGCCGACGAAAGGGCAGCACCAGCAAGTGTCCCAGGAAAGCCAGGAGACCCCGCCAGGAACCGACGAATCGCCCCGTCATGCCAAGAAGTGTCCACGAAGCCCCAGAAGGCAACGCGAGCCGAGATATCCTTCGGGATCGGGGAGAAGAGGAACGAACGTAGGTGGCATTCGTTGAAAGGGTCCGAGAAGATAGCAGACGTCGTTGGAGTGCTTGCCCTGAATGGAGTCCGTTGAATAGGAGGGAGAGATGTCACTGCGGCCGCCAGAAGAAGAATGCTTAGTGCTTACACTACGCACACACGCATCGATGAGGCATCCGTGTATTCACATAAACCTTAGCACAGTTAATATTCTATAATGATTATAAAGGAGCATATTTCCTGTTTATTGAATCCATGTTTGGATCTGACGAGAAAATAGTTATTAGTTCACATTCATATCATGATTATATATAAGAATTTTGATTTGGTGATAAAAGACATGCCTATTTTTATACGCATACACATATAGTGTAAATAGACGTGTACAGGCAAAAAGGAAAATAAGAAGTTGCATGAATGACAGAAGTGGAGAGCGAGCATATATATAAAGACTATCAGAAAGATTTTTTTTTTTTTTTTTCAAAATATCAAATATACATTACATGTATTGAGAGTCGGTTCTTAGACTTTGCTATTCACCCTCCTGGGAACCACCTAACTAACAGTTGTTTGAGTTGAAACAAGTAACCACGTATTTTCTCACTAAACTAGTCGAATTTGGATGCGTCTTCCTATAGAAACGCCTAGACTATGAACAGATTTTAGAACAAGATAAAGGACATTCAGAATAACCGACAAGAATTATACAAATTGTTCCATAGCACACACACAATGATGAAGCATCTTTACATTCTGTAATGAAGAATATGATGTAGCATGTGTGTTTTGTTTATTGAATAAGAGTTTGGCTCTAGCAAAGAGAAAAAAAATGTATTTCTTTAATTAGATCGATTAGGCACTGTTAGATGCCAACACCTGAATACAAAGGCCGCAACACTTTTACATTGTTCGATATTGACTCGTAGTCGCTACAAAACATGGTTTCGCCGGTCTTTTTCTGACATACAGAGTTTTGAAAAAAATATCAACATTTACTTGTCCTAGTGCCTGTAATTTATTGATAAATCAAGATACAGATTTTTTCCATTGCTATTTTTGAGCCAAGTTTTAGTAGAGGAACAAAAAGATTTTGTAGACATTTATCCAAAGAAAGCTAATAACACATCATACGACTGTGACACGCTTGACATTCTTATGGAGTCGTTTCATGGACATCATGATGGATTTCAAATTTTACCCACGTACTGACCACGTATTTGACATACTGCAAAAAATGTACGAATCTTTACTCACCCTTATATATATATATATATATATATATATATATATATATATATATTATATATATATATATATATATATATATATATATATATGTATATAATATAATATATATATATATATGTATATATATATATATATATATATATATAACAAATTCTATCAAGAAAAATACGATGCAACATATAATTTATGAACATATAATTCCCAATCTGAAACGTATGTGAATCACATCTGAAAAAATATTATATGATTGGCTGCCCGGAGTGTGTCACTTTGTATAAGAGTAGAGTCAAACAAACAAGAAGAAAGAAGTTTCACCAGGTTCCAAAGAGCAAACATGTTTGAGGATGCATTGATTAAATTGCATCAAGGAGTTAGGGGATTTCAAAAATATAAAGACATACTTATACATAATATAAATCTATGTATATCTGTCCATCAGGGTGTGTGTGTATACTTATACGCATATGTGTGTGTGCGTATAAATAGCTATATATGTATGCACACACACACACACACACACACACACACACACACACACACACACACACACACACACACACACACACACACACACACACAAATACGGCTCCCGTTTCCCTCCTTAAACTGCCACTCTTGTGCTCCTTTATCCCTTCCCTCCTCCCTTCCAGCTTTTTTCTGGAAGTCCTCCTGTGTCTTCCCCATCCCTCTTTTCATACCCGTCCCCATATCCTCTTTAAATCCCCTCCGTTTCCCCTTCCCCATCTCATTATTTTCTTTAAACCACCCTACCCCCCTTCCTTTTTTATCTTTTCCCCCTTCCTCTTCTAACTTCCTCACCCCTCGAATAATCATGTAAATAATAAATATGCATAAACGGACGGTCTAACTACCTGTGTTATGCATTTGTCTTGTATAATAATAATAATAATAATAATAATAATAATAATAATAATAATAATAATAATAATAATAATGTTGAAAATAATAAAAATAATAATAATAATAATAATAATAATAATAATAATAATAATAATAATAATAATAATAATAATAATAATAATAGTAATAGTAATAGTGATAATGATGATGATGATGATGATGATGATGATGATGATGATGATGATTACAGCAATAATAAAAAATAATGTTTATTAGTTGTGTAAATAAATATGAATATACTAATGGTCTAACTACGGCAATACAATGTACTTGCCTCGAAGAAAAGGAATAACAATGATAATAATAATAATGATGATATTAAGGATGAAGAATCTTCATTATCGGTCATGGTGAGCCCGAATGAAATGGGGAAGAGAAGGGCTCCACCCCTCAGGTCCCCATGAGGGCTAGGCAATTAAACAAGGGAATACCGTGCCCATGGCTCCCGGAGGCCGTTCGTGACTGATACGAAGCCACTATTACTATTACTATTACTATCCTTTCGCCATGTTTCTCACACCTTGGGAATGGGATAGAAGAAGGGGATGAAGACGATACGGAAGAGGGAAGAGGGAGAACAACAGACCAAGCAAATTTAGTTGAGGCGAAGGCTGAGGCCTAAGGTTGAGGTGATCAATATTACCTTTATCATCATTATCATAATTGCTATTATTATTATAATTTACTTATTACCATCATCATCATCACAACTCAAACAGCTGGCGCCTAGACACGTTTGAAACAAGGCTGATCATGTGGTAGGCTTTGAAGATCGTCATAATTTTAGTTCATACTTTTACAGATACATATTTGTGTACGTAAGTTCCTCAAGCTAAAATGATACAGTTAAATTACAGAAAAAAAATGTTTCTAAAAAAAATAATAATAATAAAATATAAATTTATTAAGTGAAGAACGACGTCCGGAGTAATCATGCAATGTGCTAGTTGTACAAACTCGTTCTGTAGATATTTGCTAACTGACATTTTTAAAAATTCTATACATATTTAATTTTTGTGCTTTATGTTACATATAGAAATTATTTGTGTCCAACTTCATTTTAGACATTACGATTTTCGTTTCGTTTAAGACAGAAAATGTTATGATTATGTAATGGCAACAAAATCAATTATAAAAAAGGGGACCGTCTGGTCTGTTTTCGCCATTTTCGCCCACCATGCAGAAATCGAGTTAAAAGTATTTTCAAGGATTTTCAGGGCCTACGATTCTCCCACCCGACCCGTTTTTTAGGTGGCAGCGGCCCTTTTCGATGTCTACCGAAATATTTTTTTTATTTACTTTACCTGACGTAATGATTAGATATATTAAAAAATATTTTTTTTTTCATAAAAAAATAAACTTGATACACCGTTCATATGGAGCATTTAATTTTCTTTATGTCTTCATCATATATAGTTAGTTTGATCTATGAGCAAAATAGAGCAAACCTCCCTCCCCAAATGGGGGTCGGATTATCAAATGATCTGGATCACCACCAAAATTTTACGGAATACAAGTTAGGCTAAGACAAACCGCATTTTTTTCCTGTCCATAACCTTTTGAGTTAAAAAAGAAATCCTAGTTCTGAACCATGGACAAGATCATCACCAAAGTGTCCATGGTGTCTAAGTTAGTTGATAACAAACAAACAATCAACAAACAAACAAATGGAAGTAACAATATAAATAAACAAAAGGTCATGGAGTTAAGTAAGTTTATTTGCCACCGTGGCTAACTGCTCAGGCGTGGGCAATCGTGATTACAGAGTGTTACATATATTCACGTACATTCGACAGAGTACAGTATTCTCTGATTACAGTAATTATACATGGTAAAATGGGAATATGTCATACAGCATGCAAACGTATATTACCTAAGTTGATCTGCCTTTGCCTTTGTGTTTACATAACAGTGTTCTGTGGTGTGCTCTATGATTATGATAGTTTTGCATAGTAAAATTAGGATATAGCATGAGTATATCTTCCAATATATCAGATACTACAAAATAATCACATAGTTCTTTATACCTCATGTTAAGTGGTCTGAAAGGCTGTATCACATGACACTCTGAGGTATAATGCTCAAGCGTTCGCTTATTTTCCTCGTTACTCAGTCTACATCTAGATTCATCTGGATTTCTTGCACCTTGCAAATGCCAGTACATTCTATAACCTAAACGTATTCTGGCAATAACCACGTCACATTGTCTGGTTTTACTTCGGTGCCACCCATAGGATGGCTTACAATCTCCATACTGATCGTAGTGCCTTATACTACAGCTTTCAGGCCTTCGTGAACTCATCAGATCTATCAGTTCTTCATTATGAGAACTTTTTATTATGTGTGCAAGCTAAGCAAGAGTCATCCCAAGACCTGCATTTATAATATCTTTGCTACAAGCCTCTTTCGCCAATTTGTCAACATGGTCGTGCTTGCGTATGCCAACATGTGATGGTATCCATACAAATTAAATGTTATAATTGCGCTCTCTTGCATTAGTTACGTTACGCTTAATGCAGTTCACATTCATTTTTTTTTTTTTTTTTTTTTTTTTTTTTTGCTTAGGTTCCTTTTTAAAAAAATCACAAAAAAATGGGTCGAAATCGGAAAAGTGAT